ACTGTTTCTATTTATTTACTCTTTGTGTACCTTATCTAACGATGTGATCACCGGTAAACGCAGAGCCTTTTTATTCATGTTTGATAGAGAGAGAAGATTAAATTTAACCACCTATTTTATATTATATTTATTCTTTCCTTCTTTGTGTATTAGGTATCCGATGCTATTATACGTAAGCCAACCGCATTATATATGACATATTTGAAAAGCAACAGATGAAGTAGCCTAAATTTCTAATTCGTTTTTATCCGAAAACATTTGAAACGACGTTTTGAAATCTTTTGAGAATAACTATAATAAGTTAACGAAGAGCTCTGTAAATCTAGTCCCACCCCAATGCATCACTCGATCCACAATCTACCTCTGATTGCATGGGTCATCGTCTGTTAGGCCATACATTCGTTCATTCCTTTCTGTTTTGTTTTTATCCTGCACAGAGAAAAAAAAATGTTGGATAGACCTTTGTGGGCTTTTTGATTCCAATTCCTTGAAAAACAGATTTAGAATGTGATAAATATCGAGATTGTTTCTGACGTTTTATTGAAAAAGAAGGTTACAGTACATAACACAAAATATCATCAGAACAATTGGAATACTAATAATGTAGCAGTTGAGTCAAATAATATAAAAAGAGTAGTCAAAGAAACTCTGCTAATGAACTTTTTCTCAAAGAATAAAGAAAGAAAAGGTTTATTCTCAAGCAAGTTACAATTTGAATGTATTTAGGTGTTCTGCAAGGGAATTTTTGATTGCAACATGAAATTTGTCGATTTAAGAAAGAAAACGTTTCTTCCTTCTCTTTCTCACGAACACGTGTGTTTGTTCGTATTCTCTACTTATAGATATAGTTTCACTATTTAGTTTGTCTATGTTTCTGAAGAAGTTAACAGTAGTTAACGAAACGTCAATCAATAAAACAGAGTTATGTTTAAGACGGTGTTGATAATTCTTCATTTTGTTACGAAATATCTTGCTTACTAAAAATAGTACATGTTTAACATCATACGCAATGTGTTTCAAGAATAACAGAGTTAAAATAAATTAATTTTCTCTGTTATTGTAGCTCTACACATGTGACACGTTTCTAAATGTTCTGAACATATTTGACATGTTCCATGCCCACATGGAGAAAACGCTACCGTACGCTCTCGATCCAAACAGATTCCGCATTGATAATATTCTTCTAATTTTTGAATTTCTATCTTCAGTTTAATTAATTCATTGTCATTCGTCTTATCAGGTTCCAAAACTAAGAATAATCCAGTCTGTTATATTTAGTGAAGTAGAGTCGTGACGGAACCATGTTTCGGAGTTAAATTAAAAGTCACACATGATTAAAAAGAAATTGATGCTATAACTTACTTTCTGTCATTACTGCGTTACGCTGTTGATTTCTTGGATTTTGATCACAAAACACCTAGAGGAGAAACGTTTCTTTTCATCTTTATTCTTGTTTTTTTGTCTTACTTCGTGGATATCTAAACAGGTCGGTGACATTTTAACCCGACAAAATTCGCACGGTAAAGAAGTGATACACTCTGCAATTCTGAAAAACATATTAAAATGAAAAAAACAATTTTACTACTATAAAGTTTCCTTTACGTCTCAATTGTTTGTTCTAAAGATAGAGCCTTTTGAGGTACTTGGTTTTGAAGAGGTTCGGTAATTATGGTCCATGTTCGCTGCTGTTGAAAATCGTTGAACTTGTCAGGTGATAGAAACGAATTTTTATTGACAGAACAATCAAAATTTTTATCGTATGGCAAAGGAGCTGCTCCACAGCCAGACTAAAAATAATTATAAACACTGGGTGAAATCCAACGTCATCCTGAAGTCTACTACCTATTGGTTTTCAAGGTAGTTGACGAAGTCATCATTAATAATTAAAATAAGCATATTGTAAACTTCAGCCTAATGGCTTTCTCAGACGATGGGTTTATTCATATCTGTTTCCAGATTCTTGAACCTTCCAACGAGAAAATCTTAAGATTTCTACAAAATTAATCTTGCAGATAGTTTTTCTGAAAAAAGAGGTAATTTAATCGTTTCTTTAGTTTTTCTATGGCACAGAGCGGCAATGACAAAGAGGACGAATCTGAGTGACACTGTCTAGTATTTACCTGATGTTGTACTATGTCTTCAAATTCATACAAGTCACCGCAAAATTCACAGGGTATTTTAATTTCGTTACTGATCTTTTGGCTAAATAAAAGAAAGTATAAAGTCCTCGTCATTAACGAACATAAAATCAAACTCACAATCTGGTTTTATCTGATATGAAATTGTCGTTGCTCTATGAATAATTGACAGAATTCAGATCTTAGATATAAGAAATTAGACTCTTACATTGTAAATTGTTGTAGCTTCTTCTATTTCAACTACTTCTGTTGCTATTAATTCTTTAAATGCCTGATAAATTCTTGTTAAAAATGGCATCCTTCTCATCTTAGATAGAAAACGTAAAAATGTCTTTGGTAAATTGAGAGAGTTAAAAGAAAAAAGAAGAACAAATATTGATACTGTTTTTCTTCCTGATTTACTCTCTATTCGAGATTATCGTGGTTTGTTACATTGAGTCATTATATTATGTTATTATTATTATTATGGTATGTACACTACACTCATCCTACATGGTTATTCAAGTAATCAATTGCGTACATGAATTTACATAAAATAAAAATAAATTTTTTTCATGACTAAAGATGTGTAGGGTACCAAGTGCTTTTTGTGCATTAGATATCTTTGTTGGTTTTTATCAATAGTGACAAATATTTTATGGCCATTTGACGGAAGTAAATATTGTGTCATTTTAATTTTCAAATACGGTCAGGAACACACTGAAATGAAATGAAATGAAACAAAATCAAGTATGAAGGTAGCTAATGCTGATCAAATATCAACGATTAATACTCAAACTAGAAGAATTGTGCGTCATAAAATTTCATGCATTATTATTGAAATAACTGCAGCTGTATGTGTCGTTAGCTCCCTAATTGTTCTCTTAGTTAAATTCGTACCAAATTTAACTAAGAGAACAATTAGGGTGCTAACGACACATACAGCTGCAGTTATTTC